TTGCGAAAAAAACAACGCGCGTGTTATGCCAGAAATGAGACTGGACCGAGTACAAACCGAGTTACCCAACTTCCGGTGGAGTCCCCAGGCAAAAACAATCACAGACATGCGCAGAAGGGACTGTAACCTACCTTTAAGGATTATCAATTTTAGAGTTAGAGGTATTAAATACTTAAAATATTCCTCTTCCCATCTGTAGAATTACTTGCAAAACTTTGTCAAAAATCAATAGCTTTTCTCCAAGAAGTTAATGTAGGAAGTCGGAAGTCACTTTAAATTAAACTTTTGTGAAATTCGAAATATGCATGTTGTTTTGAACTCCGCGAACATATACATATACATACATTCATATATATAAACACACAACAAGTTATTGATTTCCATGGGTGACGTACGGACATACAGAATGTATGTCCATTAGGCATTACAGGGTGTATAAAAAAAGGTAATCGAACTTCAGCGCGGTATTGTAGGCTACTGAATTACTCTGCGTATGAAAGAGATTTTTTTCATATTCAGAAAGATCAGGCTTTTAGCTGTTGATTGATATGTTTGCTGTTCATGCCAAATGGATAAAAAATTAGCAAATACGAATACGATGAAAAAATGTTAGTCAGAATTACATATTTTCATCATTGAGAGTTGGGCCTAAAACCATTGAAAATTAACCCCCTTTGGTACTCAAGTTGATGAATTTCGCTTCAATAAACTACGCACATATTCATAATTATTATTGAGTAGGAATAAATTTCCTTTGTTATGCATTGTTTTATTTAGGCACAGAGGTGAAAATAATTATGCGATTCGATCTGACTAACAATTTTTATCAGATTCGTACTTGCTTATTTTTTCTCCACTTGGCATGAAAAACGTACATGTCATTCAATAGCTAAAAGCCTGATATTTGGGAAACTTTCAGCCACCCTCGGTGCGTCCAAACTCACCGAGCGAAGCGAGGAAATTTCCAGTCACCCGAGGTGCGTCCAATCCCGGACTCAACGAACCTGCAAGTATGTTTGGTTTTATCACATGCACATTTTACCTAAATAGGTAAAAAGTACTGAAGAATTTACCCATTTTAGCATATATTAATTTCTTGTTTGGATATTAACGAACATTTTAGTCACCAACATATTACGCAAACAAACAAATTTACCGGGGTTTAAATAGACCTTTCCCCTTTTAAGTGAAATTTTGATCTAGACTAGCCTGGACAACAATTTCATCACAGCTTGAAAGAGCATCACAAAATTAGTAATTTACTATTCCGAAGTTTCGTTGCAAAATGTTGTAAAATTCGGATAATATAGCCTTGCGAAGTTTGCCGTTTTTCAGTCATTTTGTATGACAAACGGGAAATTGATAATCAGATGATCAAACTGATTATCAATTTCCCATTAGTAATACAAAATGACTGAAAAACGGCAAATTTCGCAGGGCTATATTATCCGCATTTTACAACATTTCGCAACGAAACTTCGGAATATTACTAATTTTGTGATGCTCTTTCAAGCATATTTTTGTCCAGGCTAGTCTAGATCAAAATTTCACTTAAAAGGGGAAAGGTCTATTGAAGCTAAAAAAAATCTCTACAATACTCCCTTATTCTTGAAAAGACAAAATGCACACGTTTTGCGAAAACAATTGCCAAGATTTATATAAACCTGCCCGCCCACTGATCTGTACTAAGACTGGATAACGCATCTATAAATAGTATACGAAAATGAAGCCGGAAATCACCAGCCGCCACCCGATTCAAGGGTCACACTTTTGTATAGATCTGTATTACAGATGGTAGTTGATCGCGTTTTTCGCCTTGGCTACGTTTCTGACCGGGCCATGCAGTTTTACAATCACAAAAATAGAAGCATACAAGAAGAATTTTTAGCAAAAATTTGGAGTATTATGGCTTTATAACGCCGCGAAACGGGATTTACAATTTTGAAGGAGTGGTGAGCCTCCTTTCATACAAAATCAACTCAAAATATACAAGAATTACTGTTACTGGACAAATATATTCTCAGGAAATTTGAAGAAATGAAGGTATTCTCATTTGTAGCTGTAATGTAGCTGCTTCATTTCTTCAAATTTCCTGAGAACATTCATCGAGTAACAGTAATTGTTGTATATTTTGAGTTGATTTTGTAAGAAAGTAGCAAAATCGAGTTCGTGTTGAAAAACAAAGTTTGAGGCCCTCCACTCCTTCAACATTGTAAATCCCGTTTCGCGGCGTTATAAAGCCAGAATACTCCAAATTGTTTGCTCAAATTTCTTCTTGTATCTTCTCTCCTTGTGATTGTAAAACTGGCCCTGTAATACAAATCTATACAAAAGTGGGACCCTTGAATCGGGTGGCGGCCGGTGACTTCCGGCTTCACTTTTGTATACCATAGATGCGTTATCCAGTCTTAGTACAGATCAGTGGCCCTGCCAACCAAATTTCTGCGGCCATCTTTCTTCTCTTCCACGTTGAATACAGAATATTCCATTTCATCAAATAAAATAAAAAAATAATATTTATAAAACAATTAAAAACAGGTAATTTATTTTTTATTTAATTCTTCGTTTGAAATTTGTTCAAATCGCTTCATAATGGCCGCCACCGAAACATCGATCTCGAACTCCCCTCCTAAACTCCCCCCTATATATATATATATATATATATATATATATATATATATATATATATATATATATATATATATATATATATATATATATATATATATATATATATATATATATATAAATTTGCTCCACTTACATATCGAGCACTCTATTCGTAGAATATATATATATATATATATATATATATATATATATATATATATATATATATATATATATATATATATATATATATATATATATATATATAGATTGTCTATATCTTTAAATTAAATATCGCTACTCTGAGTTTCACGTCCTTTCTAGACGATCATCAGGCGATTTTGTTCACGATTTTGTTATTGATTACGTGATTGCATCATCATCAACCGTTCGCTGACGCGTTAACTTGTTTGTTCCCGCCCGTTCGAATTTCCCGGCGCTGAATTTTTCTCGATTTCATGATTTCTAATTTCTCTTCTATGCACAAATTACAACGCCTACCGCCAGGTACATACGCTGCTGCTCGTTTCAAAATGGACCACTTAATACTGTATTCCCTTTTCTTGTCCTTCAAATCCCATACGTATTTGGAAAGTTCTGTGTCAGACGAGTACGCAGGCTTATTAAACGACTTTTGTGATTTCTGTGTCTAACCTTGAACTCCGTGGAAGTTATTTCAATGTATTCTTTGGTCGTTCCATCATGGGGCGTTGTTATTTCTGCCTTATAAACTACGTTGCTGGTCAAACACTTTTCATTCAGTAGACACACGTTAGATTTCCTGCACTCACATTCTTTGGGTTCAGGGACTGTAGAGGTTTTTGTTAGGAGGCGGTGCATGGTTGTGGCGTGTTATGTTGCTCTTTACATTGTCCATGCACGAGTAACTGACTTTGATATTGTTCCTATTGAAGTTCTTGTGGAGTGGGTTTTTGGGTGGAAAATGCTTGTCGATGAGTTGAAGGAAAGTTTGAGCGACATTTGTTCTGACTGTTTTGCTGAATGGGGGGTTGAACCAGGTGATGTTCCTACGGCGTTTTCTAGACGGTGAGCTTGTGGAATTATTACCGGTCGAATATTGCAACCTGACATCATAATTGCTATGTTTGAGCGCATTCTGGTAGGGAGGTGCAGCAGAATTAAAAGTTGATTCTGCTGCACCTCCCTAACGCCTAACGTAGTTTATAAGGCAGAAATAACAACGCCCCATGATGGAACGACCAAAGAATACATTGGAATGACTTCCACGGAGTTCAAGGTTAGATACAGAAATCACAAAATGTCGTTTAATAAGCCTGCGTACTCGTCTGACACAGAACTTTCCAAATACGTATGGGATTTGTAGGACAAGAAAAGGGAATACAGTATTAAGTGGTCCATTTTGAAACGAGCAGCAGCGTATGTACCTGGCGGTAGGCGTTGTAATTTGTGCATAGAAGAGAAATTAGAAATTATGAAATCACATAAAACCAATCTGTTGAACAAAAGATCCGAGTTCTTCGCGAAATGTCGTCATCGAGAAAATTTCAGCGCCGGGAAATTCGAACGCGCGCGTACAAATTAACAAGTTAACGCGTCAGCGAACGGTTGATGATGATGCAATCACGTAATCAATAACGAAATCGTGAACAAAATCGCCTGATGATCGTCTAGAAAGGACGTGAAACTCAGAGTAGCGATATTTAATTTTAAGATATAGACAATCTAATAAGCTCTGCTATACTTTTAGTATTGAGCACTTTATATATCTAGCATATAGGTTAGTAATATAGGCGGACTGGGGGAGGGGGGTAAAGGGAAAAACTGAGCAATTTCACATCCATGAAATGTCTCATTCTGTCACCCATTTTTAACCAAACTCCTTTTGCTGTGGCGAAAGGTGTGAAGGTGGGTTTATGGCACTTTGAAACCAGATTGCTCATTTTAGGTGGGGGTTAAGCGTTGGACTATCACATCCATAAAATGTCTAACATTGTCGCCCATTTCTAAGTTCTAACCAAGCTCCTTTTACTCTTGCAGAAGGTGTGAAGGCAACCAATCTGGTTTTAAGGTGCCAGAATCCTGTGATGGTGTTCAGATTTTTCAAGGGGCTTTCCTTGTCGGATCACAGTTTACTATTTTTCGGTAACTGTGATTCCTAGGCATGCTGATGAGCCCGGGTATAGGGCGAAACAGTCTATATATTAATATATCATATGCTGAACATTGGCAAGTACAAAAAGTATGCCATTTACGCATCTGTAGTTTGATAAAACAAAACATTTATACTCCCACGAAAATTGGACTATCATCCTGACATATATATATATATACGCGAAGACCATGCATCATTGTACCAAAAATTAATTATTTCGTACTTTATTAACGACTTACAAGAGTTTATTACGACTTAATTTGATATCATCCTAATATCAGTACAATTATAAGAGTGCGGCCTGGATGAAAGCTAGCCTAGATATTATCCCGTTCAATTAATTAATTCAATGGATTTTGTTAACTGTTAGGATAACACTGCCTGTAACAGCTGTTTGAATGAATGTTTAAGTCCTCTAAAATGTAATTTGACCACCGTATTTGTAATAACAATATGACGAATTGTATTATAATAATTTAATAAAAGTTATTAGATGTAAAATCAGTCGAAAAACAACCAGAAACTAGAATCTCAACATGCTGTCCCAATCTCGGTGTTACTGCGCATGTCCGCTACTATCCTCCTTCTAGATAAAACTAGGTCCCACAGTTTTTAAAAGTTCATATCATAGTTAACAAACCATTCTAGAGGTCTTCGTTCTCGATGTGGTCTCTCATTGTCGTTAGTTGGTTCAGGTTGCTCGGCCGGATTATTATTATCTTGTTCTACGTCTTCAATTGGAGCAGCAATATCTGGACCTTCAATGACTACAACTGCATCATCAGTTTCTGCCAAGTCGTTCTCCTCTTCCTCTGGATCCACGTACGGTCTATTATCCGCCGTGTCAGGTTCTCGGACGTCATGAAACCGTTTCAATTGATTGTGGTGGACATCTCGTCTCTTGACGCTAACTTTCTCGCTTCTTTCGTACTTTATCCGGTACACAACTTCTCCAAGTCGTTAGATTACCTTCCACGGTCCTGCATGTCCATGGTCTGTTTAACTCCATGCATCTTCCTCGTCTGGTTTTCCTATCAAGCCACAACGCTAAATCTCCTGCCTTGTAAATGTTGGCCCTTGCTCATCAATCATATTAGTAATGTTTCTACGTTTTGTGTGCCGAATTAAGAATGTCATTTGCGGTTTGAAATGCTTTTGATAGTCTGTTCTGTAGCTGCTAGGGATACTCCGTGTGTGATTCGACACGTCTCTCATTTTGACCTGGCTTCACGAGATCATTGGGAAACCGAAGCTCCCTCCCGAACTCTAAATAACTTGACGTCAATCCGCTGCTGCTATGTACCGCAGTGTTGTACGCAAAACACGTCGAAGATACGTATAAGTATCAGTTTCTTTGGTCATCTGCAACTACTTTTGCTAGTAACATGTTGTTCACCGTGCGGATACTTCTCTCCGAAGAGCCATCGGATTGGGGATGGACTGGTGTAGTGCGCGTATTCCAAACTTCCAGGAAGTTACAGCTGGACTTCTTCAATCATTTTTGCATGTCTCGGAATCTACCCAACAACACCTTCTTTGCCACAGTTTCTGCTTTCTGATTCCTTAGGGGGGAATGCTTCCAACCATTTCGTAAAATGTCAATCATTACGAAGCAGTAGCGTTATATATCCCCCAGGGCTTAATGGATATTCTACGATATCCATAATTACAAGTTCTCCTGGTCGCCGTGTTGTAAATTGGTTGTAGGGGTGCTCTGTTTGCTGGAACTGGATTTCGTCTTTGTTGGCAGACTCTACACTTCTTGCACCACTCGCTTATTTCAGAAGACATTTTTGTCAAAAATACCTTTCCTGTGACCGCTTTAATGTTCTTGAATAACAAAACTGTCCTTGGTCATCATGCATCATCTTCAAAATTCTGGAGGTCAATTTCTGGGGAACTATGATCAGCACTTTTCCGTCTTTGCTTTTACGGCGAAGCACTCCATCATTTCCAATGAAACAGAATGGTAGTTCCTTTGCAAGGGCTTCGAGTCCCTTGTCCAACGTTTTCAATGTCGTTTTTGATTCTAAACTATACTTGATCTGACTAAATGTTGGACACTCCTCCTGTTGTTGATGTACATATTCAAGAGTCCAGTCCTTTTCGCTTTAATTATATTTCCACAAATCTGATCCTGCTTAAAGCGTCGGCGAGTGTATTTTTAGTTCTTGCAATGTACACGTGCTTTACCGTGTGTACTGGAACTCTTGTATTTTATCGACGCAACAGCCGACCACTATGTTCGGCAATTGATAAAACTAGAATAGTGAAGCGAATAGTGCGAATAGTCGACGAATAGTACGAATAGTCCGCGAATAGTCGACGAATAGTGCGAATAGTCCGCGAATAGTCCGCGAATAGTCCGCGAATAGTCCGCGAATAGTCCGCGAATAGTCGACGAATAGTGCGAATAGTCCGCGAATAGTCGACGAGTAGTCCGCGAATAGTCGACGAATAGTACGAATAGTCCGCGAATAGGCGACGAATAGCACGAATAGTCGACGAATAGTGCAATAGAGACTTTGCAAGGCTTTGCAGCAGTGCTGTAGAACTAAATTTACCGGGGGGTGGCTCTGTTGACAAACATGAAATCGTGAAAACATTCGTCGACGTACGTCAATGACGTCATACGTAATCGGTAAAAATTACGGGAACCACTGAGTATTTTAATAAAATATAAAACAACAGTAACTTCGAAAATAAACATTTTAATATTGTAGCTTTCGACTAAAATTCAGTCATCGTCAGGAACCATATTTCATATTTTTTTAAATTTATAATCATTCCTGATGGTAAAGTGGTAACCATATAAGTCATAAATTTTACTGATGGAATTTTATAGGAATTTTACTTGTAAGTTATGGCGTTGTAACTGAAGATTTAAGGGCTTAAGTGATTTATGTGTTAAATTGGAAAACGTGATTTACATCACGAAACAAGAGAAGGTATCGATTTATTATTTAAGCCTGTTTTGGGGCGAATTTGTTCGCGCGAAACGAAAACCAGATTTCGGCAATGTGATTGGTCAGCGAAAAAATTCGCCGCGAAAAAGTTGAATCAGTTCCTACTCTTTTACTGACTCTTCCACAGTCCCTCATTCGTACACGCGGTCGCGTAATTTGAGCAGCGCTGATTTGAGGGACTGTGAAATCGTGACTCGAAAACTTGCAAAAACACTCGAAAACTTGCAAATGTGTTCGAAAACCTAAAAAAATCGTCGAATATGGAAGAAATCGAGGATGTTTAGGACGGTAGCGGTCCCTTGCTGTACATGGGAAGTGTTTTGTCTGAATCGTGCGAGGAATTAGATATATTAATGGAATATAACCATAAATATCTTATATACACTAGATAGCACATCTCTTTTAGTAAAATTGAAGCCAAGAATATTCCAGCGGTTACCCCCATTTGAATAGATGGCGGCCATGTTGGTCGTTCCCACTTGCTAATAAACGCTTAAAAACAACAATAACTTTCATCATTTGAATAGCTTAGAAATGTATTTGGAATAGGGTTAACTTAATGTTTAAGTTTCCTGTTTAAGAAATAGAAAACATACGAATCTTCTCATTTCATGGGAACGACCTGAGACTGCAATCATGGCTTCAATTTTTGAATTGCAGAATAATTAGATGCACTATCTAGTGTATATAAGATATCTATGAATATAACTCTTGAAGACCATGATGGTGAGTGTTGACGTCAAATATAGCAATACTGTAAAAATATAATATAGGCAAGATTTTGATTAGGTTTTCGTGTTTTATATTGTTTCATGAAAGTGATTGTACCTTTACAAGTTACAACTTCGTAAAAGCTGGGTAAATGCTCTATAATACGGATTATTTTTATTTAATTCTGCAGAATAATTTCCACGTGCGATTTTATATAAATATATACGCCAATTAACATGTCAACAAATAAGTCAACAAGAAGTCCTGCTCAGGGGAATATTTACAATATATTTTATGTTGGTCTTAAGGGTTAAAGTTACTCCTTGTTTTTGCCAAATGTGTAAGACTTTTCACTTTTGCTTAAAATAGCAATATGTGAAATATGCATGCTGAATAATAATTTTTTAATGAAATTATTTAGCCAATGGGGATCTCAGGTTCTAGCTCATTGGTTAGTCCTCTGCATTTGAGGTTTAGGAGTTTTGAACAGGCCTCCATGTTATGGATTTATTTTAACCTCTGTGTTATACCTAGACCCCCCCCCCCCCTTCAGGTTTAGCAATTAGCATTACCGCTTCATCACCAGTAAATAGGGTTGGGCAATATTTTGATATTATCAATGATAGACGATGATTGTACGTACTCAAGATCATCATATTGAAAGTAAAAGCTGAGTCGTGATGGAGTTATCGTCAGGGCCGAACTAACAAAGCTTAATAATATAAATTATAATATAGCATTTGTAAATTCTGAACGCTGATTGGCTAAGAGCCGTGTTGATATAACTCCGTGTCAACACGGAAAATTTTCCGCCGCTTGTAAACACGGAAATTTTTCTTATTCTTCGGGCTTTTGACATTGCTATATTATAAAACAAATATAAAACATTTTTTCCGTATTGACATATAGTTATATCAACACTCGTGGAAGTTGGGAAAACTCGAAATTGTATGAAAACACTCCGCCCTTCGGGCGTCGTGTTTCCACACAATTTCTCGTTTTCCCAATTTCCACTCGTGTTGATATAACTGTATATCAACACGGAAAATGTTTTATATTTGTTAACTCTTAAAAAAACTATGTTAATCCATCCCTGAATTGGAAACCAAAATTTCATATTGTGTGTAGGTAACAATTGCAAGTGGAATTAATAGTCGAAACAACCTATTTTCCCTCATGTATATATAACTTGATGTGGTACGAGGGTAGCTAAACTAACAATAACAAGGAGCCAAGCATGTCAATTTCTTTTGAAAACAAAGTTGTCTATTAGGTCATAAAGACCCAATACTTTATTATTATGTTTGATAATTGCCAAGGATTTCACACAGAATCCCCTCCCCCAATACCCCCAAGTGAATCCATCCCACTACTACACAAAATAATACTTCTTTCCCTCTGAGTTGACAATGAAAGCATATTTTTTACAGATCTCTGCAATATTATGTTTACAAGTTCCTTGAAGATATGATTATAATAAATGGTTACAGATGTCTGTACATTGTAGAGTATTTTGTACATATTTTGTACTTACTGAGGCCAAATAAAAATAATAGTTGGTTTCAGGTTTCGCAGCCATGCTTTATATGGGTAGGTAGGTCAGAAAAGCATTTTATTTAAAAAATATTTTATCTCAAATATGCAATAAATATAAGTTGTTTATGAGTAACTGTCACACATGATTAGACGTGCCACACGGGATCACCCGCAAGCTACACATGTAATTGTTTTGCGAGAAACAAACGCATCAAGGATTAACATGACTAGATAATGATTAAATTATGAGCAAACAAAATAATTTGTAGCAAATGAGTCTGATGACTATTTATATATTCTGATATTTACGAAAAGATCATCCTTACTGGGAAATGTCAATAAAATGTTTATGGTCGGTCATATTTTTGACAGGTCGGTCAGAAACCTGAAACAAACTATTATTTTTATTTGGCCTGAGTACTTTTTATAATATTCAGACAATAGATAAATTTGTATCATAATTAAATTTGTATCAAAATCTATAATTTAATAAATATTCATTCCATCTTGTTTCATTTCTTGTTTTCTTTAGTAGCTGCAAGAAAAGATCTTCTTAGAAAATCTGATATTTTTGAAAACTTATTACACATATATACACAAGGCCGTCGGAAGTAAATCAATATTGGGGTGGGGTCTCAAGAATAAATTTGAATTGCCTTTGCACTTTTCTAGTTCTTTTGTGTGTGTATGCTCATACAAATGGAATATGGGGGGGGGCTCATACCCCCCCCCCACACACACTTCTGACAACCTTGATACATGATCTAATTGGTACCAGGCTAGGCCCAACCTACCTATGTTTTTCCCACAATAAAATTATTAAGAAGAACAGTATGCTAAAAGAGGTTCAAACATGGGGGATGTTTCTGCGAAAGCTGGGTTTGCCTGATCAGAGAGATATCCCTATGCATAGCAGGCCTTTTTTAAGGTATTATCACTGTTTGAATCGCTCAAACCTGATGCTGATTGCTGAGTTTGTTGGGTTTGTTTTCAAAATGCATTAATGAAACCAAGTCAGTATGGTGTTAAGCCTCAAAAACTGAAAGCAATAGACTTGGCATAGACCCTTGACGCTCCCTGCAAGGGGTGCAAACAATAAAATTCCCTATACTCCTATAGGTAAATTTGCAAGAGATGCAATTATGCAAACACAATGGTGAAAACAATTAACAATATATTCAAGATGGCATCCTTAACCTTGCTACTTGCACA